TATAACTATATCCGCCCTTCTGTATCGGTATTCGTGCTTACATACATACACCCTCCCACCATTCCCCTATATCGATCGCACTATAACTATAACCGCCTTCGGGCATCCGCACCCATGATTACACTGCATTGCATGCATCAAATTACACGCTTAAAATATCGTAAATATTTTACAATATGCACATATTAAATATCAGCAAACAGATTATTATAACGCAATAGATTTCATCCGTCAAAATATCACAGAAAGAAGGGCAGTCTGGAATTTTACAATGACATTAGAATGCACTAAGATGTTTAACTGGTCAGGAGGTGAAAATTACGATAAACGTCAGTTATAGATCTCCATTACGAATATCTAAAGTGTGGATAAAGATCCCAGCTTTCTGTATCGTGTACTGCATTCCTGCAGATATAGCAGTTTCCTTCGCTATAAAATTTATGTCTAAATGCTCATGTAGACAAAGATATATATGTTTATAGGCATGACCATATTATATATTCTACGCAAATATCACCACATTTAAAAAAAAATGCTAGACCGAGTCTTTGAAGGGCATTAAGAAGGGATACTTATAAGGAAAAACATTATGGATGTCAACGTCTTTATTATTAGGAACACAACGTTTCGGAGTATATTGCGTTTGCGTGCGTGCGTGCGTGTATGTGTGTGTTAGAGATGGACTTAACAACAAGTAAGGTCATCGTGAGCGGGACGGTATTCGCAGGTGGATGAGCATATGAATTCTGATTCTCTTTAGGTAGAAAATGAGGATCCACGATGTTCGACCTGGTAGAAGTGTGGAATCAAACCTCACAGCATTGGTCTTTGACTGACTGTGGCGTCAAAACAAACTCATTCATTTACTTGAACTGAATGTTCATCTTAATTGTTATGGATAGTCACAGAGCCGTGATCCAGAGAACAGGGTGTCATTAGATAAAAACAAAGTAATAATAGTATTACCAGAAAAACGGGGTATAACACCCAAGCCAATAAGCTTCGCTGAGGAACACCAGAGTAAGTCAAGATTGTAAACTGCCCCATAATTATGTATGACAGGCTAGTCAGGTATTGCTACATGTATACATGTATGTGAAAACAAAGTAACCAATAAACGTGTATAAGTGTTATATCGTCACTGCAAAAATAATGAGTGTTTGTCTTTAGTATTAACATTTCAATACGTGATATCTGTATTAGCGATATTGTCTACGCTCCATCGGCGATTTAGCGTTAGCCTTACTATCTCGTAGTATAAATATTGAAAGAAATTGCATTTCTGAAGACATCTCGATACAGTTTTTACGATGCATCACGTCTGCACTAGCGCTTGATAACAGCCTAGTGTTTAGGTGTTTCAGTTGTTTAAATTGCTGCTCTTGACCTTGATATTGTTGATTAAACTTTGATACTTTGAACAATATAAGGTTATATGAGACTTTAGAACGTTAACATGCGTTAATGTGTGTGTGTGTGTGTATATATATGATGACATGAATAGAACAATGAGTAGTACGTCCAGATTAGTGTATAGTCAACATTTAATAATTAAATTCCACAACTCCCCTTTTAAGTTTTTTTTCTTAAAAGTAAATGCAAGAACACAATCGGCCGGAATACAATGTATAATTCTGGTCCACTTTTATATGACCATATAGCATAGAATTATCTTTCGGGTCCCGTTTGGATAGGTTTGGTTGGCAGCCCAGATGGCCATAGAATAGTTCATCTCGGAATCTCCCATATAACTGGGGCTCCTCATCAATTTAAATGGAGTTACTTGTTTCTTTCAAAACTATACAGATTTAGAGACTAAGCATAAGTCTGAATCGACATCACCAGTTTGGAATTTGAAACTAATCTGTGTACAGTAACAGGACACTGCTTAAGTGTCATGTTCAAATGAGAAAGTGGAATCCCATCAATTATCCTTAAAGCTATTAATTAACATTTATAAAAGCAATATCGGAAAAATATGTATGCATATAATATCTGGCAATATAAACCAAGATCACCTTCTACAAAAATAGATTTTAAAAGCCGGTTGATGTTCGTTTGCGTATTTGACTTGCGAAAGTAATCCTTTTCCTATACTCAGACGTTCCTGAGCCTTTAAACTAACATCTAGTCTCTGAAATGAACATATCGTACAGAAAAATCAATTGTTCAGGTATCTTAATAAAAATAAATAAAAGGGAGCCCAGTGACTCTCTTCATTTTCTGATACTGCAGTAATCTAGACTTGCCAAACATTATAGACTTGCATGGGCTGTATTTGATAAATATTTGTATCAGGGTCTGAAAGACAGACTACTGAGCCTTGTGCATTGCTAAATATTTTGACTAAAATTATTACCGTTATCATTGTATTAGTTAATTAGAAATGCGTGCCGATGAAGTACGTGCCATAAATTTAAGAGACACTTTACGATTCAGAATTTGTCACGAGACTGTGTTTATGAATCATTGTCAAATACGCGAAATCACGCATGCACAGAACGGAAAATTTCGACAAGGCATTAAGCAATCCGCATGCTGCAGAACGATTGATTTCAGTACTTCCGCTAAACGCTTTGTGTGCCGCGTCAAACTCGAGCCTGTAATCTAACACGCGAGAACTGACCAATGAAATCTGAAAAGTAGAAATACCGGTAGACGCTGTTGCTTGATTGACAATGTCAATCAAGAAAGGGAGGAGCTTGATGATATCGTCCTCTCCCAGTTAATTCCGATGTCAAATAACGACGTTATTTGGACGGAAAAACGATGGCTTGAAAACGTCCAAATAACGTCGTTTTTCCGTCCAATGACCATATACGGAAAAAAACGACGTTTTCGTGTTTGCAGTGATAATGGTTATATCTCACAGTACCCCACCAGTCAACTGAGATTTAAAGTGCCACAGTGATCTGCTCTTGGTCCAATACTAATCACAATAAACACCAAAACAGTGGGAAGAGAGACACAGCTCTAACTGAGATTAAAACCATTGTCACCGTCATCGGTTAGTGAGAGAATTATTGTTGATATCAAATGTTGGCTGACGACAAACTTGTTCAAATTGAATGTAGATGACAAAACTGAAGTTTTGATCATCAGTTCAAAACTAATGCTGCCCACACTTGCCGAGAAAATGGGTTGCTCAACGAATCAGTCACACAGGAAATCTAGGCGTCATCATTGATTCAACATTCAGTTTGAGCAAATGCAAAAAATACATACCATCAGATAGGGAAAGAGACATATCAGTACATAGGTTGACAAAGACTCTGTAAAATGCTTAGTTTAAGCATCAAGATTAGAGTTCAGCAATAGCCTTATGCATGGCTTTCAGCAAAATCATCTGGACAAGCTATAGTGTGTGCAATGGTGGTGGCGCCAACCCAGACAACTGCGTATGGAACCAAAACTTTAGCAGATGTGGCTCTGCTCTATGAAATTAGCTTCCAATGGATGTCAGAAGATCCAAGGGTGTCAGCAGCTTCCGCTCAACCATCAAGACCATCCTCTTCAGAAGGATTTTGGTTATTGCGTGTCGTGGTATCCCGACGGCGCGGGACGCTGCGCACAACATCGAACATTGTTAGTCTTGTCCAGACTCGTATTGTGTTGTGGGGTGGTGTCATATATCTGGATATTACAGAGTGTTGCGTTGAACATACGACAACCAGTTTTACATGATTTGTCCTTACACGCGAATGAGTCTAATATGCGTCGCCTTGTCACAAACTCTTTAATATGCATTAAGTACTGCATGAACTAATTCATATGATGTCAGTGCGTCCGTTACGCGTTACGTATGAACTACCCTATGCAAAGATGATGATATCAATTGCTGTTCTGTCCGAAAGCTGTAATACAACATTTGACATTGTTTTTATATTTGTCATGACAATTTAACTGTATACATGTAATAAATATGTTAAACATGTGGCAGCTTGTCCCAAACTCAATATGCATAACATATATTGTCTACACGACTAGTTCTTGTGATAGTTCGTGTCAGCATGAACAACCCTTTTAGGTTGGTTGGTTTGTTGTTTAACGCCGCACTATATGACGGCGGTCTGTAAATAATCGAGTCTTGACCAGACAATCCAGTGTTTGACATCACGCAATTTGGATCGATGACATGCATCAACCAAGTCAGCGAGCCTGACCACCCGATCCTTTTAGTCGCCTTTTACGACAAGCATAGTCGGCTTTTACGGCAAGCATGGGTTGCTAAAGACCTATTCTACCCCGGAATCTACACGGGTCACCCTTTTAGGAATATGATGATATATGTTGATGACCTTGTGTATTATTTGTAGGACGTGATCACTTAATACATGTAAATGTTTATTGCTGTGACTTGGTGTTGTTCCTTAACAGGCGCTGGGGACCCATTTTATTCGAAGTCCCAACGGGGTGCCACTTTCTGTACGGTATAAGGGATGGTACACCCAGTGCATAATCACATATGCTTCGGGTTATAGGATGCAAACCTGCCTAAATTGTTCAGAAAGAAATTAGAACATGTTCTGGTCTGTTGTATACAATACATTTCAAAGAGAGCCATCATGCTACATTATTTACATTGTATCAATGATGTTCCTTGCCATTTTATTTCCCACATTGTACATCTGGGTCTCAATAATAATTTCAATAATTCAATAATTTCACTGTAAACATGGAAATCTCAAGAAGACATATTGTAGTGTTGTATGCGATCAGCCACCACACACAAGAGTTCAATTGCTTACAATGTAAAATACACATTTTCTGTTCCCTGAGCCATCCTTTTACTCACCGTGAAGATCCGGGTTAGAATAGGTCTTCAGCAACCCATGCTTGCCGTAAAAAGCGACTATGCTTGTCGTAAGAGGCGACTCATGGGATCGGTCACTGGATTGTCTGGTCCAGACTCGATTATTTTACAGACCGCCGTCATATACAGGTAGCTCGAATATTGCTGAGTACGGCGTTAAACAACAAAGAAAAAAAACAAAACTCACCTTGTATCAGAGAAACACAAACATAAGAGTATCTGGAAGCATCGACAATATTCAATACACTGTAAAAGAGAAACGTTCCTTCTTTCCCTACATGGTCACTGGTTGTTCTATCCAAAATGCGTCGGATTATGACATCGGAATTTGCTGTGAGTAAAAGCCCCGCCTACACGATTGATTGGCAGTGCCAGTCAAGCTGAGCCACGTTGTCCTGGTGTGGCTTATGGTTATAGAACTGTAGGATTAAGTTTCAACTTACAGAACGGAGCGGGAGATATTTCTGAGGAAGACGGTCGTTCCCACTGAACAGTCATATGTACTATTGGATAGTATGGGACATGTATTACTTCAACCATTTAACCTACAGCTCACAAAGCTGTATACTGGTGTATTGACTGTCTAGTTGCTGTTTGGTGCTTTATCTCATGAGGGGCAAAAGAAAGTATACCTAGTTTGTTTCTCGTGTAACTGAAAATGGAAATTATTGTTGTTAAATTTGATTATGTCTATTTATCCACATTCATTAATTCAACAGTTTGTAAATAATAATCTGCAGCATGGTAATTTAACACGTCTAAGTTACCCATCAGCAGCTGTGTGTTTTAAGCGATTTATTTTCACAAGTTTTAAATAAAATTATATTTTATCAAAATGTAACTATGTAGAAATATTCTTCGAATGATGACTAAGCGCCAGTACAGTTCATTCTTTAGATATAATATTGCTAACTTATTCAACTGATAAATCAACAGAGAGGTATAGTTTATTTTGCCCCTCAGTTTATGTATATACAAAATTCAAAATATTCTACACGCCGAAATCCTAATGTTTAATCTCCCAGATTTCATTTAACATATGGCAATTCTCTATGCAGTATTTCAACAATTCCGTCTGAATAAGCTGCGCTATGTACAGCGAAAAAGGAAGGTGTATTGAGCGTACATCGATTTTCGTATTAATCATACATGGAACAAAAGTGTTGCTACTGTCGATATGTATCTAAGACTGCCGGTTATTTATCTCCTTGAAGTCTGTTTCATTTTGCAAACTTTGCAAAGGGTTATTCTAATGTTCATAATATAGATACTATATACACAGAAGGTTCATATTCACGCGGTATTCACGTGAAATCTGATAATCTAATTATATATCAATTATTCTATTTCTCTTCCTCTTTCATCCCCTCGCCGGCGATATAAATGTTGCACTCAGCTTGTGTAATACGGTACAATGACCTGACACTGACCGTGGTTTGACTTACATGTTGCCATCGGTAGGTGTAACATGGCCTATGGACTGATATTGACCGTGGTCTGACTTATTGAAGGTGTGACATGTTCTATGACCTGACATATGATGGGTGTAACATGGTCTATGGACTGACGTTGACCGCGGTGGGACTTACGGTGGGTGTAACATGGTCTATGAACTGACATTGACCGTGGTCTGACTTACGGTAGGTGTAACATGGCCTATGAACTGACATTGACCATGGTCGGACTTACGGTTGGTGTAACATGGCCTATGAACTGACATTGACCGTGGTCGGACTTCCGGTGGGTGTAACATGGCCTATGAACTGACATTGACCGTGGTCGGACTCACGGTAGGTGTAACATGGCCTATGAACTGACATTGGCCGTGGTCTGACTCAGGGTAGGTGTAACATGGCCTCTGAACTGACATTGACCGTGATCTGACTCACGGTAGGTGTAACATGGGCTATGAACTGACACTGACTGTGATTTGACCAACATTATGCCATCTGTAACAACCCGAGACCCATTTCCATCTCCTTATGATAACTTGTATACCCCGTCACCTCCCGGTTCACAAACATACCCGCCATGGTTCACTCACTAGAAAACACCCACACTGTTATTTACATATAGAACACCTAATAATATTGCAGATATGTCTTATGCATGCATCCCCCTTCAGACCGTTGACATCGTATATATTATGTTCATTCACTAAACAACGATCGGGGCAGACAGAGGCTGCATGTCATTCACTGATACTGGTATAAGTATTATACTCTCCAAAGAAGAAGGGGATATTGGTGGATCAACAGAGGTACTTGCATAAGTCACGTGATTATAGACCATATATATAAACAATAGCCATTCTTCCACCTCAAGGCTACCAACCAAAGAGAAAATATTCCCTGGCCTGTATGAACTGGTTATGTTATCTCATGGAGACCGACCCAGATCTGCACATCCAGCACGCCAAAATGGAGGTGAAAAGACGTTCACATGCGGAGAGGGTAAATATTGTTACAGTGTGGATGGGTACGATCCAGCGACAGGCACCGACTATGAATTTATGTTTTGTTTCTGGCATGGGTGTCAGATATGTCACAAGACCGAACGTGGAGAACCTCATGCCGTCCTGGGTACGTCGATAGGAACACGTCATACCAACACTCACTATCGCCTGGGTCTCTTGAACCAACACCCTGATGTGAAACATATCGTCACCCTGTAGGAGCACGAATGGGAAGCCCAGCAATGGTCAGACCCTGACTTTGCGGGCTTTCTTGCAGGGACCCCACTGTACCAATCTACCTGGGCCGCTAAACCCTCGCGACGCCTTCCATGGAGGACGAACCAATGCCACCCAATTATGCTACGAGGCCAAAGAAGGTGAAACCATCAAGTATATTGATATCTGTTCGCTTTATTTCCACATTTGCAAGACCGAAGAGTTTCCCACAGGACACCCGACCATTTTCCAACAACTCCCTGTGGAGAAGTTGTTTGATCTGAAAGGTCTTATCAAAGGTCGTGTCCTACCCACGAGACAGCTCTTCCATTCGCTACTGCCCTACAGATCGGATGGAAAACTGCTCTGTCCTTTGTGCCGCACGTGTGCCGATACCCGGTCAGACACACCCTTTGAGCACACGGACGAAGAGAGGTCTTGGGTGGGCACATACACCACCGTAGAACTCCATGAAGCCGTGGAGAAGTATGGCTACAAAGTGCTTCAGATCTACGAAGCTTGGCATTTCTACACCTTTGCGAAGTATGACCCCAACACACAGGAAGAAGGACTCTTTGACCCCTATATCGACCAGCGGATACCCCGAGGGATGCACCGATCACGATGCTTTCATCAAGGAGATCTATGGGAAAGGAGGCAGTACCATGCCCTGTTCACTTCCATCCGTGAAGCCATGAACCCACGGACCGAAAGTGGATCGACATACACCACTTCGAGAGACTAAAAACAGGATCGAAATCTGACCAATCAGACGGTAGGGTTTTGGACCAATCAGAGACCGTCTCCGCCCTGGGTGGTCCTCTGATTGTTCGAAACACCGTTGTGCTCTCTCTCCCTGGGTATAAACTTGACCCTTTGGAAAAGAAACACAATGGGTGTGCACACTGGGTACCGTGTGGGACAGAAACCACCCAATGAGAAGGTCGGGTTCTTCACCAATTAGAAAGTTGGATTTTTCCAAAAATTAGGAAGCAGGGTTTCAGTGCCTTTAAATACGCCAGACATTCTCTGGCCATCACTTTTCACTGAACGGTCCAAGCAACACCATCATGTACCCCTGGGATGACAACGTCTACTACCGCATCGTCAAACAGAAGAGGTAGGGGCATAAGTACGAGGACGTTCTAAACCATGAACATCAAAGTCTGATGACTGATGCTGGAAATCGTGAAATGACCGACATCATGGAGGATCAGTTAGCTCTGCATAGGCAGATGATGAGATCGAGTGCCTTGTATGCAGCTTCCTATGCCATGATAGATGAGAGGGTAAAGACCGTCGAGGCGACATTGCCTCCGGGATATGCCATTTGGATGCCTAACGAGTGGCTACGTGTGGAAAAGGGACTTGACCCAAAAAATAAAACACAAAATACAACATGGTGGACTGAACCCTTATCCACAGCAACAACACCCTCACTAGCAGTGGTAGCGGCAGCAGGAACACCCTCACCAGCAGCCATAGTAGCAGAGGTAAAAGCAGGAGAAATAACACCCTCAACACTATTCGCAGCAGCGGTAGAAGCAGCAGGAACAACACCCTCAGCAACAGTCGCGGCAGGACTACACTTAGCGGCAGAACGCTGCGAAGAAGCAGCAACACGCACAAAGGAAGAATACGGTAGAAGCAGCAGGAGCAGCCCCCTTTGTAGCCCCCTTTGTAGCCCCCTTTGCAGCCCCCTTTGCAGCCATAGCAGAACTCGCCTCAGCACTATTCGCAGCGTTAGTAGCAGCAAAAACAACAACACTCGTCGCAGCATCGAGCAGATGGCCTGTGTGATGACTGTGACGAGGGTTGTCATCCGTTCTTTTCACATTGTTACGCATTGTTTCGCATTGTTTCACATTGTTTGAATTGTTCGCCTTGTTCCTTTGTATCTAAGTTGAAGTTGTTATGATTCATCATTAAACAGGGGTTGATAGAACTGACTTGTTGTGTCTTGATTGATCTAAACTCCGAAGCAGAAGCAGCAGCAGCAGCAGCAACACCCTCCTCACGCCACGCCAAGGACACCCCACACCCTGTCCCCTCTCCCCAAGGGCTCTCCACAAAGTCACCCCAAGAGAAGAAGGCTACGGCAGCAGATGGATCCTCAAGCAGAAGAAGAAGAAGAAGAAGAAGAAGACGAAAAAGAGGTGATGCAAACCCCATGGGTGATGATCCCACCTCCCTCGGATGCCAAACAGGACAGATTCATCAACAGGCGAGGTTCATGGATAACCTTTAGCACCACATAAGAAAACCCATCTCTCTCTCTCTTTCCTCTTTATAAAAAGACCAACCCTGTACCGAGAGGCATCAATCTGATGAGAGAAAATTACGTGACAGGCCAAGACACAACTACACAATCTTACCGCTGGGAAGACACAACACAAAGGACTTCCTACTCCCCTTTGGACAGCCTGGTTGGAAAAAACCTACTTTCATCCTGTACATCCAGCAAGTTTTGGCAGCTGGTGACCTTTGTTGAAAGCAGCACGGCTCCAAGCTCAAGATGCAAGAACCAGTAAAAGCAAGAAGGAAACCATTCAATCGCAAAGTCAAATCAAGCGTTGGTTGCAAACCCAAAGTACCTACACCTTGCACAAACCAGCCAG